TACATAATCAATAATCAAACCCTAGTGTAAGCTTTTATAATTAGACTCTCACCTCTTTTAACAAGAACTTTATCCTTAGAGTAACCTTGAAATATTATAGAATATGTTCTACAACTTCCAGACGTCTCTTCCTTGGATCTGGCATAAATAAATTTAATTGTGTATGTTAAATTCATCCTAGTAAGTTTCAAATAATTCAATTTTTCCATTAATCTCGAATTCTGACCCTTCTCAACTTCAGTGCTTTCCTCCTCAAGGCTTATGTGATTATTTTTCTCAATGGAAATACTTGTTGGTGTTGGTGTGCATGCAAGTTCTCATGTTTCCTACAAAAGATTGCACATATTTCCTCTTAGAGATAAAATACCTTATTTTGAGTAAGCTAGTTTAATTCTCAAGAAATATTTGAGTTGCTCAAAGTCTTTCATCTCAAACTACATGTCTTCACCTTTGAAGTATTTATTATCAGCACATCTGATCTTTATCCTCTTTCTATTGTCAAAATCAACTAGCCATTTTTTTTTTTACAGTTAAGTGATTTGAGTAGCCAGTGTTCATATACCACTAGTCTACCAAATACACAATATCGGACTCAAAAACCATCAATAGCACATGTACATCATCAGAATCTTCTCTGGATATGTTTGCTTCTTCTGACTTCCTTTCCTTGTTTGACCAGCAATCAGCAGCAAAGTGACCAAACTTTTTACAATAGTAGCACTGAACCTTCCTTTTGTCATACTTCCTCTTTCCCTTCTGAGCACTCTTCTGCTTTTCAAAAATTGAGATTTCTAACTTCTAAATACCATCAAATTTTTTCCCAACTTTTGACCAAGACTGCTTCTATATTTCTTACCAGAGACTATTTCAGAACCTGTTGCTCTACCATAAAAACAATTTCTTCAAAAAATTCTTTTTTTCAACTTTGGAAGAGAATTTTAACTTCTCATAAGCTTGTTATAAAATTTAATTTAATGATATTCTATAAATTTTATATAATTAAATATTTCAACTTTTTATTTATTGTTTTATTTGAGATACAACCTTTTTATCTTATTTCTATTTTTCAAATATCTTAAGAAAAAATAGGAATTTGTTTAAGACACCTTGAGTATTGTTTCTCCACCCTAATAAAAAACTTAAAATTATCCCTAGAATCCAGGAAACATCTTCGAACGTATCCCAAACATATTCTCTCATGAATCACATCCTAAAACTATGGCAAAAACAAAAATGCATCTCCATGTAGCTTACGAAGATGCATCTCCAAACGGCATTTTAATAAAAAAAAGTGTTAGAATCTTTTCTCTTTCCTCACTTTTCAAAATACTTTTTCAAACTCTCAACCTCTCAAGTATCAAACTCTCTCAACTCACATTCTTTCAAAAGCATTCAACACGCATCAAAGTTTTTTCCATCAACATCAAATCGATCAAAAGCTCACTTAACATCAAACTAAACTCATATTTGGTAAGTTTTTTGTTTTTCTATGTTTTTTTTATTTTTACATACATTTGTAGAAATTGAGCATTAGATTGTGTAATAGGTAGCTTTGATACATTATTTAAATGAGCAATGTGTTTGATAGGTAGTTTAAACGATCAATGCATTATTTTGAATGTTGGAATGGACTACATTTTCGTCATTGTTGTTCTTTTGAATTATAGAACGTTACGTAGATGCATCTCCAAAATTTTACAACGTTTTAATTTTCATAATCTAAAAAATGCATCTCCGGAATGTATGAACTTGCATCGTTTGGCTTGACCTCGTTGTGTTTCATCTATGTAATACTTATGTGATTTACTTATATGCAGTATGGTTGATAAGCAAGTTAGATTGAGGCACAACAGAGTTGTGCAACATACATCAGTTTGGAGAGAAAAACTCGAGCCTCACAAGCACTTGTTGTTTCTAGCCTAGTTGATACGGATGTGTCAACTTCTGAAGCTCATCCATCTTTGCCTTCGTCTTCCTGTAGGAGACATGTGTCCCCTACTTAGACACTTGAGGCTCCGTAGGCACCACATGCACCAGAGACATAATAGGCATCGCGGGCACCCGGGAAGTTTAAAGGAGGCACGTCTGACTTATTGTTGTTGCTTCTACATCAGGACCATGTTGCCACACATGTCTGAGACAGAGAGGTAAAATTCAATTGTATACATTCTTTGAAAAAACATGTTTGTTATAATATTCAAAATTTCTGACGATAATTTATTTTTCAGCATGACCATGATGCTTTAAAATACATCAAACATGGCCAAAAGATTATTGGTTTGTCACAACCTAATGAGCAGTGGTTTCAAGATGTAGCTATTTGGGCTGAGATACTTGTGTAGGATTGATTATGTTACAGTTAACCATGCTATGTTGTATGCGTTTGTAGAGAAATGGCATTCGAAGACTTCATCTATTTCATCTTCCACATAGTGAGATGTCTATCACACTTGACGATGTCTCATGTCTGCTGCGTCTTTTGATCAGGGGAATACATTTAGATCATGGCAGAATTAACAGAGATAACGCAGTAGAGATGAAGGTAGATTATCTAGGAGTTGACTCAGGGAATGCCTTAGAAGAGTTAGAAGCCACCCGAGGGGTTCATGCTAGGTTTTGATTCTTGAATAGGTTATATACATAACAGTTGCATGGTTTATAGAGCAAGTCGTTGGTGATGATGATCAGATTGCATGGCATAGAGCATACACTCTAAAAGCATATTTGTTGTGTTTGGTTGCACATCCATTTTTGTGGACAAGGGTGTCACTCATGTGGATGTGGTCTACCTGAGATACTTCATTGACTTTGAACGGATTCATGAGTATAACTGGGAGGCGATTGTTTTGTCTATCTGTACTCCAAATTAGTTGAAGGTTGTATGTGGAAGACCAAACAGATGACATGCATCATCACACTATTGACAATAATATTTATGCATATTTTAGTGTTTGTGTGTCATTTTTATAACACTTTTGCTTCGCCATTACAAATGATTTATACGTACCATTTTTAGGCTTAGATCCTTCAACACTTCCCACGCATATTCGGCTGGTCATGTGCTCCGACCCACACTGAAGATATACCATGTGCTTCTGCATTCATCCCGCTCAAATGGAATCAAGCGATGGAGTCATACAAAGTGTATACTAACCGAATGGTATCAGAGGATATACATTTATGTACGTACGTCGATCACCATGAGACACATCCCTTTGTCGAAATAGTCTTCTATTCTGGATGGTTGGCTTGCAGTTCATGACTGATGTATCCTCATCTACCTGAGAGTCTCATGTAAAAATTCGACTACATATAGTTTATTTCAAGAACCCTTCTAAGTTCGCTCTTCCCGCTATAACATGTAGAGATATGGGTGCCATGTACGATGATTACCTCAATCATCTGGCCCCAGATGAGGCACAGAGTACCATAGCTCCTAGTGACTAGAGTGTTGCACACAGCTACTTCTAGTGATATTTTAGAGTGTCACCTCTATGTATGACACCGAATACTCTAGAAATCCGTCTAGACCAATTCATCACGAAATATGAGAGAAAGAGCATGCTAGAGCAGATCATGATATAGATGTGTTGCTTAGATATTGTTTTATGATGAAGCTTGGGTAGGCGAATATAGATATATGACTTATTTCATATGGCTTTAAGATCAGTGACATTTTAAATGTCATGACGAGGGACGCACAGGTGGCACTACAATACAGGAAGCAATGTAGAAACAAGGGGCTCGAGTTCGTCATACACAGTAGTATATAGTATTTGTACTAGAAGCATTATTATCGGTTGTATTTTATTTTGCCTGCACTGTATACTCTGGATTTACTAATTTATATGTCGTTTTCATATTATTCCGAATGTGTATGATTTAATTATATAAAATTGAATGATAGTGTATATATATATATATATATATATATATATATATATATATATATATATATATATATATATATATATATATATATATATATATATATATATATATATATATATATATATATATATATATATATATATAATACATCATCAATTTTATCAATGCATCTTTAAAACAAAGTCAAAATTACTGTATGATGTGAATACGAAAATGCATCTCTAGATTATATCTAAATGATTACAAAGATGAATCTCCAAATCAATTTATGTTAAAAAAGAGTGTTTCTGTGAAGAATGCACGAGTTATACATGGAGTGGTTTCAAAGATACAACTATTGAATAAATTTTGGAAAAATTATAGGAGCCTGAAGTGGGACGTAATTTGGTGACTCAAGGTGCTTCCGAAAAATACATTTCCGTAGTTATGAGGGCATTTTAGTATTTATACATGGTATTTTTCCACAACTTACATTGGGATAAGAGATTCCCAAAAAACATCATAACAAGCCCGTCTAGCTCAGTTGGTAGAGCGCAAGGCTCTTAACCTTGTGGTCGTGGGTTCGAGCCCCACGGTGGGCGACATTATACTTTTTGCAACTTTTTTCCTTAAAACTAAATAATTAATAATTCTTCAAAAGAAAATTAGTAAATTTTATTCTAATCAATAAATAATTTGAACTATACATATGTTTGTTATGATAAAGGTTGACTTCTATAATTTGCTTAAGAATATTAAGCTGTGAAAAATACATTCAAAAACAAAAGTTGGCTTTTACGCGCTATTGAAAAAATGATTCAATCTAACAAATGCATATATAGCCATGCTATTACCAACCCTCTTCCTTGACTTTGTTAATTTCTGTTCTATTTCGTGAGACTGAGAAATATGAACGAACTCCCTTAATGGACAACCAATACTTTCAAGTCTTCAATTTGAAATATAAATATAAATATGATAATAAATAAAAGAGTAGTGGAGCAGCATACATATTAAGTTAAGATGCATTAACAAAGAGATGTTCTAGGCCATAATTGAAAGAAGCTAGCGCTATATAAAGGAAATGATGCATACTTTAATTTGCAGAGCAAACACGTTTCAAAGAGAAGATGGGAACTTCAATTACCTATGCAATGGCATTTTGCCTAATTGCTGTCAGTGTTCATATTAATGTTGCTGCTGATAAACCTTATTATGCATCCCAGCCAAAGTACTACTCTTCACCACCTCCAAAACATGCAGAATATCCATCCTCACAGAAAGTCCCTCATCATGCAGAACACTCACACCACTATCACAAATTAACTCCATCATATACTTACAAATCTCCACCCCCACCTTCTCATTCACCACCTCCACCTTATATTTATAACTCACCGCCACCACCTTCTCCCTCACCTCCTCCGCCATATGTCTATAAATCTCCACCCCCACCATCCCCATCACCACCCCCTCCCTATGTTTATAAGTCACCACCACCACCTTCTCCTCCACCTCCCCCACCATATGTCTACAAATCTCCTCCACCTCCCTCTCCATCACCACCGCCTCCGTATGTCTACAAGTCTCCACCTCCTCCGTCCCCTTCACCTCCACCACCATATGTCTACAAATCTCCACCACCGCCTTCTCCATCGCCACAACCTCCATATGTGTACAAGTCACCACCACCATCTTCTCCTTCACCTCCCCCACCATACGTCTACAAATCACCTCCACCTCCCTCTCCTTCACCACTGCCTCTGTATGTCTATAAGTCTCCACCTCCTCCATCTCCTTCACCTCCTCCACCATATGTCTACAAGTCCCCACCACCACCTTCTCCATCACCACCACCTCCATATGTATATAAGTCTCCACCACCGCCTTCCCCCTCACCTCCTCCACCATATGTTTACAAGTCACCACTGCCACCTTCTCCCTCACCTCTTCCATCATATATCTACAAATCTCCTCCACCTCCCTCTTCTTCACCACCGCCTCCGTATGTCTTTAAGTCTCCACCACCACCATCTCCTTCACCTCCTCTGCCATATATCTACAAATCTCCACCACCACCTTCCCCGTCAGCACCACCTCCATATATTTACAAGTCTCCTCCCCCACCATCTCTTTCACCACCTCCTCCATATTTGTACAAGTCTCCACCTCCACCTTCTTCTTCCCATGTTCCACCATATATCCGTAAATCACCCACTCCTTATGTCCACAAGCATCCGGCTTATCACCTTCCCAAGCTCTACAACTCTCCACCACCACCTCCAAGAGTCTATTAATGCAGCCGAACCAACTTAATTTGTTTCAATAAAACTATTTCTTACATTGTTGTTATTTCATTTATATGAGGGTCTCCATCAAATAGCATTGTTGTGAATGTAGACCTGGTGTGTCATTACGTCTCATTGTTAATTCAAAAGTCTGTTTTGTCCTGAACATTCTTCGTATTATATTTTAAATCATTTGTAATTGCTGTTAATCCTTTCATGACCAGAAAACACTATTTGTTAGTGCCTTAAAGTTTAAATTGAAATATATATAATGGTTATCTAATCAAGCAAATCTTAAGCTTCATAATCACACATGTCGACAGTAAGAAAAATTAAAATGCATTTGTATTTGTAAGAACAGTGGTAAAAGGAATTTAAATTTATAAAGCAAACAGATGACATACCGATGCAATTGGATGTTGTCATTGCTTTGCTGCAGTGCAGCAGATGCTACATCTTAGCAAGGAGTGAAACTTTTTCTAGACTTGAGTCCATTATTGGTGATATCATCCCCCTATATAACTTATTTTCTATCAAGTGTACGTACATGTGATGCTCTCTTTGTAAAGTTTCATATGTTGATATGCCAAGAAACTTCACAAATGAATAAATAGAGTATCAGACACTAAGTTTGGGATGGAAATCTGAATTAACAAAAGATGATGTAAATTCATCTAAACAAGCCATTCGTATTCTCTCAGGAGTTGCTGGACTATCAAGAGGAAACCAGTCAGCCTGCCCCATTTCAACTCTTGCAGCTCGGATGGCATCCTTTATGGCAAAGAATACAGCTGATGCTAGGAAAAACGGAGGCTCGCCAACTGCTTTAGACGAATGTATTGCCTTTATATTTGGATGACCCTGCAAGTTAGATCACACATCAAAACAAGTAAACATGTAGGTATATCTTCAATTTTCGCAACCAGAATAGCAAAATAATCAAAATGTGACTCCCATTAACCTGCGACTCCGTTGTGCCATCGGGCAACACAGCACAACGGACTCACTTCAGTTTGTATTATCCACACTTACCATGCACCATATGGTTACCTCAAGAAAGAACTGAAACATGTTTAGGATTCAGGAATATACCTTCAGAAGTGAGACATTAAATTTCAAGGGAACGTCGTTTATAGAAGGAATTTTATAAGCTCCAGGTCCACAAGTGTTGAGCCAACCAGAGGGGATCCATTTATGAGCTGCATCTCCCCATTTAAGTTCTTCTAAAGCAACCCAACCCAAACCTTGAATAAAAGCTCCTTCGATCTGTGAGCATAAATAGCAATAAATTAAATCTGAATATATCAAACAAAATTTTCAAAAATAGGAGGAAAAATCAAAGTAGGAAGTTGTAATTCAAAAGAAATTTTGAGTTTTGAATATTATACAACCAGGAAACCAGTTTTATCCTTTTCCCAAAAAAAAAGTTCATACATCCAAGAATCCAGAACCAAACATCCAGCAACGAAGACTTCCAGGAAAACAGCTTTTGATTTATTTTTTTTTTTACTTCTCACAAAGTGAAGCTAACTTTATACAAACACACATTATGTTATCCTAGTCAAATAATGTCTTGCAAATCAACTATATATGTCAACACGAGCAATTTGAATAAAAAAAAAGGTGAATGCAACAATAAGAATCATTGACACTAGAAAAAATGCATTTATTATTAAAATATAAGTAAACTGACGAATGTTATTTCCTTTCAACATTTTTCATTTAGCTTAGTGGAATTCCTGTCTTCTCTTGTTTCTCCATCTTGAATAAAATTTCTTGCTTATTTAGAAATCAATAAAAGTTAAATGAACAATCATAAAAGAAAAGCACCTGTCCAACATCTATTGCTGGGTTCAGAGAGTAACCGAGATCCAAAATTATGTCTGCCACCCTGGTGTGAAAATCTCCAGTCAAGGTGTCAATTTCAACCTCGGCAAATGCAGCCCCATAAGTGAAATACCTAAAAGGTTTTCCTTCACCCGTGGTCCAATCAAAGCCAATATCAGGTGTAATATAAAATCCATGGGCAGAAAGGTCAATTCGCTCTGCATAGCACGCATTAACTAGCTGAAAACAACAAAAGTATACAAAAAGTTCAGTAGTATTCAACCACAATGCACTTTGTAACAACAGAGACAATCACAAAAGCTACACACACACAGACTGACATACATAAGTCATTTCTGCAATAGAATGAACTAATGTGCTGTTATAGTCATTTATTGAGTGGATCACTTCATAGACTGAAGCAAAAACAGAAAATACAAGAATACCTCAGCAAAAGTGTTGAATTTATGTTGGGAAGCAATAGGTTCCATGCGTGCTATTATTTGCTCACATGCATCTAAAACCGCTGCTCCATACATATCAGAACTTGCAGAAGCTGCTGTTGGAGAAGAGTTAGGAACCTAATTTTACAGCAGGCATGAAGACATGACAGCAATTTAGCAACAGAAAGAATAGCCCCATATCCAATAAAGGGTAACAACAACAACCAACAACGACCACAACCAAACATTTTCCCGCTAAGTGGAATCGCCTATCAAAATTTATGAATGTCTATGAAGAGAAAGAATCATGTGTGCATAATTTTCTTTTCACACGAAAAGTTCAAAATATCTTTTGAGTAACTTAGTACCTTATCAGTACTTGTATCCGATATAAAGACAGAATTAAGAGGGATATTGAAAGCTGATGCCGCAATCTGAGCAACTTTTGTATGTAAACCTTGCCCCATTTCCACACCACCATGGGTAACTAAGACAGTTCCATCTGTATAGACATTAACCAAAGCCCCTGCCTACAGTTGTTGAGAAAACATGCAAGCATAATGTTATCTCTATTCTAAAAATGGAATTATTTCATAAATAGAAATATGAAATAAAAATAAAATCATCAACGAAAAGCAAAACAAAAATAATAAGTAATGTAGATCAATACCCAATCACTTTCAAATGAATTTTTGAAACAAAACATAATAGAAGTATGTGGCATTTAACCTATCAAGCTCTTACCATTCGTTGGTTAATAGGTTATTTCTTGTTTTACATTCTATGTTATTTTAACATAGACCTTTTTGTATTTAGTCACATTACTAGCATCATGGGATTTTCTTTTAGGGTTGAGCTTAGTGTTATACAATAATCTAGAATATATAACCTCTAACCTTACGATGGTCTACTCAGCCACCATATTTTATATTATCAATTTTGAAGTGTTATGTAACCCAGAATCCTTATTTTCTGCTTCCTACTCTTGATCATAATTCTTAAGAAGTGTCTCCCTATCTACTTTCTTTGTATCAAGAGAGGTGCAATAATGAAACCAAATTAGGAAATATCTATAAAAGATAAATAACCTCTGAACCTATCCCTTGCAGCAGCTACCCAATGCCAGAAAATTGTTAACACAACAGATACCATATGCAGCAGCTACCCAATGCCAGAAAGTTGTTAACACAACAGATGCCATATCACATTGACTAAATCCCTTCAAACGGAACACAATGAAGGTGTTGGGGGCTGCAATTAAGGCAAGCCAAATGCCGCAATTAAGGAGGAAACTCCAACACACACCCTCACGCTTGGGCCTCAATAAGCCCGAAGCCTTAGGCTCTAATACCATCTTAGAATTTAGGATAGATCTAACACATCCCTACAAAACCGGCTTGAAAGGTGAGGATTGCTCCCACTTATAAACACAACTAATGCCATATCTCTAGGCAATGTGGGACTAAATCCACCCATTCAAACCCAACACAATGAAGGTGTTGGGGACTGCAATTAAAGCAAGCCAAATGCCGCAATTAAGGCGACTAGGGGCGGACCGCAATTAAGGTAGAAATTCCAAGAACAACAACATATAAAACAAAGTTGATACTGTTCCTTCTAAACATCCTTGAATTACCTAGAATTTCAGTCGAAATCACTTTTTTTTTAATTAAATAACGTGATAGAATTCAGAATTTACCTGGTTCATAAGCTTCGTTGTAAAGGATATACCAAACTTAGTAGGAATCATAGCAATGCCACGCTTCCTCCAGCGGTTGTGAGTATTGAATCGGTCAACTTCTTCACATGTCTTCACAAAGTCACAGGATAACTTCAGTTCGCTCCATAGCTGGGATAGAGGGCAGTGCTCAACTATCTGACCATAATGCAATATGGATCCTTCACCTTGAAAATTAATTTCCTAAAAAGAAACTTGGTTTAGGAAGATTGACAGGAAAATCCCACATCATGTACGGTACGATGATGGTAAAATTTCAAGTGTTACTCAAAAATGACAAATTGACAATAAACCAAAAATTTATATCTTACCCTTATCACTTCTGGGCTCATATTGAGCTCCACGGCGATCCTATGAATCCAATTTTCAGTAATAAGCATGCCTTGAGGGCCACCAAATCCACGAAAAGCAGTGTTACTAGGGAAATTAGTGAAGCAAACCCTTCCCATTATCCTCACATTTGGTATTTCATACACGTTATCCGAATGAAACATAGCACGTTCAAGGATAGCAAGTGACAAATCCAGTGAATTTCCAGCATTGTTATAAATTTCAAGATCCAGTGCAAGCACCCTCCCTTCATTTGTAAATCCAACCTGAATCAAATAATGTCTCTAATTAATTACTCAACCACATCAAAAATTAAGAAAATAATGCTAATCAACTCAAGGCCTCAAACAATGAGCAGGAACATTTGGATGTAAGAATTCAAGGGTGAGAGAAACAAAATAAGGTCAATTATTTCTCCCGTGTCAAATTTATTTTCCAAAATTTCATTCTTGTAATTTTTTTTGTTATTCAGAAAAAAGTGAGCATCTAAGACGCAAAAGCTACACCTCACTTTTATTTTTATTTTTTTGTGGGATTAATGGAAGATCTTGCCCAATGGTTGGAGTTTCTTGCTACAAGGTCAAAGGTTCGAGTTGGAAATCACACTCTTCGGGAGAAAACTATGGAAATTCTCCTAAGGTAATTTGCTCATATGATTAAGGATCAAATTGATGATAATCCATTTAAAATGGGTGAATAAAGACCTAAGAAATTATTAAGAGAAAGTACTAAAAAGACAGCAGTTCAAATGGCTTACTGATATTTTGGCTTTCGATTGAGCTTAAGAGTGAGTGTTAAAGTAACCCATTCATCTCAACACCAAGTAATGGGATAGATCATGGTTGTTGTAAGAAAGCAAAACAAGGGCCAATGGGAATCACGATTCGAAGAAGTAGGGTTTTAGACAGTCTATTATGTGCCACCATATCAAGTGTCACTCAGAAATATCAAGATATTGTCAAATTTATTTTACAATAAATATTACTGTAGGATGGAAAATACGAATTAAATCTATCTATGAAACTAAAGCAATACCTTATACTTTCCTAAGAAACTATGGCGTTGCCCAGATATCATCATGTCTACATCTCGATCCAGTGTGATTTTCACTGGTCGATTTAACAGATAAGATGGAATTGAAGCTGCTGTGGCAATAAAAGCTGATCTTGTCTCCTTTCCCCCAAATCCACCACCAATTCGCTTTGTTTTGCAAACAACTTTTGACATGGGAAGACCTAGAACATGAGAAACATATTTCTGGTGCTTCTGAGGAGCCTGCAATAACACAATCATATTAGCACAATGCAGTTACTTTTTTCAAGCCAGAGTTTATCAAGTTGTCTATTTTGATAACCCTTTCCAGTGAAATAGTCATCACAAGATAGAGTATGAAATATCCCTGTGACCACCACCTCATAAGATGGTCTTTTCAAAGACAAATTCCATTTCCCTGTTCAAAGAGTTTTAGATAAAAACTTTTATTCAATACCCATCTCGGTATATTTCCCTTTATGTACCACATTTAGGGTTGCACAGCATAAGAAAAAACATGCAGTAGATAAGAAAGATTAAATACGCCAACGACAAAGCAGCCAAAGTGGTTCCATAACATTGCCCATTGATATTCTTTACTTCTTGAAAATCATTTCAGCCTCGCTGAAACTTTCCATAATGCATGCAATGGAATGTAACAATAAAAATATTTAAGAAAACTTCAATTTCCAAAAGATAAATAAAATATAAATTTTAGGCATTCACTACAAAATTGTGTAACTTACTTGAGTAGATGATATCATATGAACTTCGTTTCCACCATCTAATGTCCATACCAAACTGCCATGTGGCTCCAGATAAAAGTGTTCCTGACCTCCTATCTGAACTTCCCCTTCAATTATTCTGTCACACTTGCCTGACTGGAAACAGTGATCAACATCACCTTTATTCATATGCTTTTCTGTGTTGGGATGAAAACTTTTAGCGTTGATGGCATCCTGTATTGACAAAATAGCTGGGAGCTCTTCATACTCAACATGAACTTTTCTTGCAGCTATCTTTGCATTTTCATGAGTATCAGCCACAACAACTCCTATTGCCTGGAAAATACATGTAACAGCAATCAATTAATAATGGAAAAACGCTAATGCAAGATTAGATATTCCACAAAAATTCATAACCAACACGTTATATGTCATCCACCAACTTCAAGATTTGTTCATGTATATACCGGAGTGAAAGACAATTATTAGCACGAGGTCAAGTGGGCATTCCCAGTGATTAAGAATAGGTGGACACGGTGAATTGGGAAATTCAACATGATACTATATGAGATCTAAAAGAACAATTTGTTGTATAATTAGCTGAGAAGATCATTGTGTAGAGTATTCTAGAGGCTCCAACTCTGTTCAGTAACCAGGTTTTGTTACAATATAATTGTGTGAAAAGAGTTGTAGGCAGGGCATGAAGGGAACAAAGAAAAGTGATAAATGAAGAGACATGGGCTGGGACCACTTGAATAAGGAGAAGTAGTAATATACTAGTGTTCTTTGCATTATGCTGAATTAAAATTCTAATGTGTAGACCATAAAGTGTTGTATGCCAAAATAATACAAGTTTCCTCACTAGCTCTAGCATGCAAGACAAGTCTAAATTATGCATGTGCATAATATATATTGACATCTAATGCATTGCATATTATATTTTTCTTTTCTTTTGCAAGTGACTTCGCAAATCTTCATGTCATAGCATAACACCATCAGTTAAGAACGGGCACAAACTGCAAAGGCCATACAAAGGAAGTAGGAGAATTCCATTTCCTTTAAGCTCAGAATCATAACAAACAGCTCAGAAGTGACAGAATATTCAGTAAGCTAGATACCTGACCCACACATGTGACATATTCCACGGCAAAAAGCTCCTCGTCAGCAACAACCGCTCCAATCATATTATCACCAGGTACATCTTTGGCTAGAAACAAGCCCACAAATCCAGGTGAAGTCCTGGCCTCTGAATCATCAATTGAAAGTATTCGGGCATGGGGTTTTCTACTCAAAACTAAGACAGCATGCAAGCCATTTGGAGGCATTGGTATGTCATCAGCATATAAAGCTTCTCCAGTGACCTGAATGTAAGTTGTAAGAATCATTTAGCCAAGCATTCTACTAAAAAGAAAAAGACAATTTGCTAAAGAGTCCATGTAAGCCATACATAACAGAAAGATAGAGAATACCAATTGAAAAATGACACATAGGGAGAGAGGGAGAGAGACAGACAGAGAGAGGTAGAAAATGGAAGTAAAAAAGGATGCAAGCATTTAATATGTACAGCAAGTAACAAAACTAGAAAAAACTTGATTGATATGATTAGAATTTGCTCAATGTGCTATATATTTACGTAGCACTATTTTAGGACAAAACATCCATTATATCTTTCTTTTTGTACATATATTACGGGATTTGGTGTTTGTGAGTTTGTTTATGTGATTATCGTCACTCTATATAATAGCATTGGTAATGGTGCTCGACAACAAAATGTAAACAAATTTGCGATGCGATTTTCCATAATAAACTCAACGAACCTGAAGTCTTGAAGATAGATGAACCTCAGGAGACCCCACGGATGTCCCTTGTTTCATGATTTCATAGTCCTGAGATCCTGTAGCTGGTGGGCGGTGAACCGAGTGCACTGCAGATAGATGGGATAACGGTATAGACTCTTTGATGCCACTCATTTGATGAGACACCCATAGAAAAAATTTAAAAAAGAAACTCAGAGTCAAAGATTTCCGGAACTCTACCATTCCACCAGGAGCATCATCCTTAATTACTATATCCTTTTGCAGAATTTTCAATGCATTTTTTAACAGATCTTGGTCCCAAATCTTATCAATGAGAAATTCCTTAGTTTTAATGGCAGAAAGTGAACATGGTGCCACCCCACCATAAACAATCGATGCATCGGCAACAACCCAGTTATCATTATGTTCCTGAAGATGAACACGAATACCAGCATTTACAATTGCAATATCATCATCCCTTCTATGGGACTGTTTAAATTCTTTCACAAACTCAAAGGTCTTATTCCATGGCAAGAATACGGAGAGCAAGATTTCATCATACGCCAAATCCACCTTACGATAACCCAGGAAGAAATTTTCTGCCAGTACTGTTTTGATGTTTCCTTTTGAGTCAATAATTCGAAACTTTGCTCTAGCTGCCATCCAGAGAGGATTCAAGTCTGATATTGGGCTGGCAGTACATATATTTCCACCAATTGATGAAACATTTCTTATCTGTAATCCAGCAAACCATTTCAGTTGCTCAATAAAGGCTTTACAAGATGAAGTTTCATGAGCAGCTCGCTCAGTCACAACCTTCCGGAAAAAATTCAAGAGAATGGATAATCTCACTGCAGCACCTATTTCTATGCCATCACCCCTAGCTTCCAAAACATTTAGTTCTGGCACATGCATTACAGAAACCAGAACTTGATATTGTATTCTCTTTAGTCTCATCTCAATTCCTACCTCAGTATTACCGACTATCAACTTTGCATTAGGATATTTGGCTTTCAAATCCAATACGTGTTGAAGTGTTATAGGCCGATACCACATTAGCCCGCCAAATCCAGTCAAATTTAAGAAGGTTGGTTTCTTTAACAACAGTTCAGGAGGAAAAATAAGTTCCTTTTCTGTATATTTGGTCCCATCTACTTCATTATAGGAAGTAGGTTTATGTCTATCAACACTGTCTACACATCTATCATTAACACTGTCTACACATTTATCATTTACACTGTTCAAATTACACGAACAGGGTTTCCCGGTTGACGGGCAAACAGACTGGCCATCTTGAAGGCTTAGTGAAGAAACACCAGTATATAAGATATTACTAGTTTTGGCAAAGACCCGGAATGCTTCAAGTATTGCTCTGTAACCGGTACATCGGCATAAATTTCCAGCAAGACATTCTTCTATTTGTTCTTCAGTAGGCGGTGTTTGACTTGACCGCAATAACGCATACATAGACATAACAAAACCAGGTGTACAAAATCCACATTGTGAACCATGAGTACGAGCCAGAGATTCCTGGAGAGGATATCACATAAATATGTTCAAAGTCTTGATTACTAAATAAAAATCTAAAATAATAAGATCATAACCAAAGCTAATAAATAATCACAACATGAGAACCAAATATATAAAAGATATTTTAACCAATATCAGTGCATCACCTGGATAGGGTGCAATCCATGCCTGAAGCTTCCAATTCCCTCCACTGTAATCACATGCATCCCTTCAACAGAATATAGAGGTGCTAAGCAAGCATTGACAGCATAGTGTCTGAAAGAAAATTTTCCAAACTAAAATTGTAAGCTTGATTTAATACAAGAACGAACCATTTCAAAAGTAGTAGGAGTGTTAAACGAGCACAGCGTGAGAAAGAAAAACTTACAAGCTTTTCCTCAAATTTGTATCATAATGAGAAACCATAACAGTGCAAGCCCCACAACCACCTTCACCGCAGCCTAGTTTAGTCCCCGTAAGACCTATATCTTTTATACCAGAGAGAGTGGAAAACTTTAATCAGTTTAGCTTCTACACATATGATAAAAAAAATTTAATTAATTAAATCATGAAGTTTAGGGTTGGTAATCAACCAAACCAGCTCAAAATTAGTTCAAGACTAAATTTCCAATTAACTCATTGAATCAATTCATGAACCAAACGACTTTAACTTAAGCTAAAAAATGATCTTATTAACTGTTTATCACATAAAGTGCTTATATATAAACTATTCCTATAACCAGAGATAAAATAGTCCTTATCAGATGTTTCCATAAACTATGACGAGAGTTTAAAGAAATAAACTAAAAAAACGTAAGGATATGTCATAGGTTGTTTGCATAAACTCGCAAACAATGCTTATATTAGTAGGTAAGTTCATATAAACCAATTCAAAAAAACCCTAAATACAGCTTAAAAGTTAATTTATGAAATAAATTATCTGAAATTGAGGTATCTATATTTTTTGTTGATTCAACTTATTTGATTTATAATTAGGATGCATGTGCTTGGATGACGAGATTTGATTACGAGCGAATGATTTTGTATAATTGATTAAGGTTAAAAGTGGCTTGGATGTAAAGTGATTGCAACAACAAGTTTCAGTGTAAAAATCAAAAGTTACAAATTCCGCTTAAAGTAAGAATCAATTCTGACGACCGAATCAATTCTAATTTAGAAGAATCAAACTCCTCAAAATCATTTAAAATCAACTAGAATTGATTTAAGCTCTTCCAAATTTAAGGCGTTGAGTTGAAGTTGAAGATCGCGTATCTAAGTAACAGCTGAAGAAATTGGAATTGATTAAGCGTGTTGATTTGAATTGAAGAAAACGAAAAGCAAAAGGAAGTGATGCATAATTGTATACCTCTGAGATACTCAAGTAAAGTGAAATGAGCTAATCCATCAGGTAAAACTCTTCGAACTCCATTAACGTATAATATAGGAGAATCGTTTGAAGAAACCTGCAAATCGTGCTCAACTTGATCCATCTTCTTCAGTGATCCCATTTTCTTCTTCTTCCTATTTTTTTCTGTTTTTTATCTTATCAGTGTTGTTATTATGTTTTTTTATCAGTGTTGTTATTATAAATAAATAGGAAATAAATGACAGAAATAAAAAACAATAAACTGTTATGATTTGTGTGTGTATATGCTTTCTTTATAAAGAATTGTAGTATTATTAGTTATGATGGTGTGATTATTTTGGATGAAGACGAAAGAAGCCGAGTCAGAAGGAATTCTAGTAGTAATCCAAGTCTCTAGTCAAGGATGTCTCAAACTATCTACCGCGATCCGAAGATAGAAGTGAGACATGTGTGGTTTAGCTTTATATTGATATTGATTGATTAGTTAGTTATCAAACAAAAGGCGCTTAGATTTTTTTTTTTTGGCAATTTCTTTTTACACCGGATGCATTTCTTAGATATTAGGTGGATTTCTCATTATGTTTTAAGTTTTCGAAAATATATCTTCAAACATATTATTTGCAGCTTTAACATAGATCAATCTGAGTGTCGCCTCATGTATTTGCTAAAGTTTATTTTAGAGATATATTTCCGAAATAATTTTAGAAAAATATTTAAATTATATAGTTCAGTAAATATTCTTGAGATATATATCTGAAAGTTTGAGCGACAATTTGAATTTTCCGGAGATGTATCTCCGGAAATATCTAATATAGTTTCCGACTGCATGATCAGTCTCTCATTATTTACATTTTTCATTTTCAACTCAAACTCTCACCTTGAAAACCTTACCTTCTCAATCTCATTTATCACTTCAAATCTCTGTCCTTTTGGTTCAACATATCACAAAGAGTAAAAGAAGATCGAATTTCAGGTAAAGATTGTTCGTTTTAATATACATTGCTCACATTAATCATTAAAGTTTATTGAAAAAAGCTACGCAGTGTCTGGAGATACATCTCTGGAACGTGTGTATATGAACTTTTTCGGATATACATCTCCGGAATATTTCTGTGTTCATTTTCCAACTTCTGCAGCAGCAGATTAATTAATGTTTTGTTATTGTTTGTATTGTTTCCAATAGCTATGGTGCACCCCGATATTTTTTCAAAACAAGTAATTTCTCTGAACGATGTTTCTCTGAATGTTCAAGGGTTTGTTGTGAAGGCAATAGATGTTGGCAATGACTTTAATAACACGAAAGAGTTTGAAAATCGTGATAACAAGCTCGAATGGATTCGTGTGAAAACATCTAGGCTTAGATTTGGTGTAGTTATCAGAAGGTCGGATGATGGCTCAGATAGAAGAAGCGTCTTTGTGACTATGTTGTGCGAAAGAAGCAGGAGTTATCGAACTCTTGTCCGAAAGTTAAAGAAAGATGACACGGGTAGTAGAAAATGTGAGTGTCCGTTTAAACTTCGTGGTTACATGTTGGCTAACAAAAAATGGAGATTTAATGTCATTTGTGGTTTGCATAACCATGAGTTGTGCTTAAAATTAGTCGTCATCCTAGTGTATGTCGGCTCAAGCTGGAAGAGAAGAAATGTATTAGTGGCATGACCTTGAATCTTGTCCAACCGAAAAATATACTTATAACATTGAAACGGAAGCAAACCGATAATATATCAAATATCAAGCAATCGTGTAACATTCGGTGCCTCATTAAAAAGGCGATTAAGGGGATAGAACTGAGATGCAACAACTGTTGAAAGTGTTAGACGATAACAGTTACGTGCCTCAGAATCAAACTTGTGACAACAGAGTTACGTTAGAGGTATTATTTGGACTCATCCTGGTTCGATGAAGTTGTTCAACACGTTTCCGACAATGCTCATACTTGATTCTACCTACAAGACCAACAAGTATAAACTTCTATTATTTGAGATGGTTGGTGTTACCTCAATTGAGAAGACATATTCCGTTGGTTTTGCATTTTTAGAATGTGAAAAAGAGGACAATTTTGCTTGAGCATTAAAGGTGTGTCGATCACTTTTCAAGGTTCAAGATGAGATACCTAAAGCTATTATTATGGATCGTGATACCACATTGATGAATACGGTTGCAAAGATATTTCCTTCTTCTTATGCATTACTTTGTAAGTATCATATAACAAAGAATGTGAGAAGTCGGGTTAAACCATCGGTAAGGACGAAACAAGTAGAGTGTGAAGGTGAAAAATTGGTGAAGTCGGGTGTGATTGTGGAAAAATAATGGATGCATGGAATCATATAATAAATTCTTTCACAAAAGAATTATATGTCGATTTCGTCATTCATTTCTGGAAAATGTGTGAAAAGTATCTTGCTTTGTTGAAATATGTTGAAAACATCATTCTTGATCGGGTGAAGGAGAAGAATAGTTTGTGTGTGGAATGATAATGTCTGACACCTTAGAAATATAACCACCAACAGAGTTAAGTCGGCGCATTCAACTTTGAAAAATTAGTTGGGAAATAGCAAGGGAGATTTTTGTCGAGACTGGGACTCCGTGAACCACATGATTCAAAACCAACATAATGAGATACAGACAACATTTGTTCGGAGTATCACAGTTTTGGAACACTGATTTAAAGACAACATTATTTATTCTCATTTAGCGAACAACATTTCTCAGGCCAGGTTGAACTATATTTTTCACGAGGCTAAACAAGTTGGTAATGTAGACTCCGATAGCGCAAAGTGTGATTGCACTATTGTGAAAACATATGGTTTCCCATGCTCTTGTGTTATTGCTAAAAAGATGAAACTTGGTGAACCAATAAAAATGGATGAGGTTTTCTCTCATTGGAAGAGACTTAGTTTCAATGATAATGGATTGATGGATGAAGATAAATCGAATATCTATATTTTGACTGAATGGGAAGTAATACAAGAGAGATTTTCGAAGGTCGATGAGAATATAAAACTCCACATCAAAGAACCATTGAGGAGGATTGTCTATCCCAAAACCATCGACGTGAAACCTCTTTCTCAACTAAAACAAACAAAAGGTGATCCAAAGAAAATGAAGCCTACGTCGAATGAGAACTCGACTACACGGTCTCCTTCATACTTTGAACATGTAGATAAAGTTTTTCCTAACTCAACGACTCCAGCTGAACCCTAGGATTCCCCATATGAACCCTAACCTTGAATGAAGAACCCTAACCCTATTAAAGGCTCTAAGATTTGACCAAATTTTGGTAAAACATGATGTTGAAGAAGATGTTCTAACATGAAGAAATCTGTAAAGAACAACATGTCAGACAAGATATCATATCTTGAGGACTCAACATCTTGGTCTGATATAGCAGGTTTGTTACAGAACTGTTCCAAGATTTAAGTTGTAATAAGAACATAGATCAAGGAATAATTGGGCAGAGATTTCGAAGTCCGTGGACTGCTGAAGATTATAAAAGGAAGACCAAGACCTAGAGCAAATAATGATTCCTTGTTAAGACTTTTGTAAAGTAAAAATAAGGGTTTAGGATTTTGAGAGTCGTGTGATTTTCTTGTATTGTATGTCATCCTTTGTATAAGGTTTGATACATTATGGTAGACATAGCTTTACATATTGAGAAACCTGTAGATAATGAATTGTAGATTGTTCTTGGATGAAGCTATTAAGCAAATTCAACTAGTAGTGTTAGTCATGAGTATTGATTGAATATTGTATTGAAAGGGTTATCTTTCAACTGAACAGTTTGATACAGTCACTAGAGGTTATGACTGTTAGATATCCCTTATGTGATTTAAGAGTTGAGATGTGTTTCTATTATCTAGATGAGGTTCTATGTAGAATTTGCATTGGATAGGGATTAAGTGCGGAGTTGTAAACCTGAGGTTGTCTAGCTTTGAATTAATATTACTGATAGTGAATTCATTCTTGGCTTGGTAGCCCCCAGATGTAGGTATTGTTGTACACCGAATTGGGTCATCATATCTTGGTGTTATTCATTATTTTGTTGTATATTTGAGTTATTCTTATACTCTCAAATATATGTCCAAACAGATGTTGAAACATCTGTCATGACACTATTATGACTTTGAGATATCATAATGTTCTTGTTTTGTCCTTGTTTAGTTAAGCAGAGATCAATGTCTCGACATCGCTTGGGACATCTGAGATCTGCATACCAGAATTTCAATTGGTATTAGAGCAGACATCCTGTTATATTTCTGGATGAGTTCTGGAGAAGATACTTTCTGGTCTTTGAACAAGAAAAGAGATTGTGTGATCAGACCATCCATTATTGTTGTGTTAAAGAGGATTGGAAGCTAAGAGGATAGCTTTCTGAATCCGGCTTGACAACTACTGATGGTTGACTGATACTTCTGTGAAGATCTACCATTGTTGCTGATAATGATGCTATTGTTACGCATGATGCCTTATAAAATGTTCTGACATCTTGCCTGGCGCTTGTTGAAGATGGTGTCAACCTCTCTAAATGCTCATGCCACCACTAGTTGGGAGTAATATAAAGAAGAGAGCATTGTGATCTAGCTTCCACTGAAGGAGCTCTCAATGTTGCTTGGGATATAATGTCAACCATGTATCGTGAAGGGTAGTAAGAGGTAAAATATTGAGTTGAGGTCTTGTTTATCAAATTCATGATCTATGGATTTGGTCAACATTTTATGTCATGTTTAAGGTAGCCTGAGATACTTAAGTTCTCTCTCAAGTCCACTCATAAATACACTTCTGAATGTGTTTAATAAATATAGTTCGGAAGAGAAAATGGTCTTCTAAGGAAGATTTATGCCTTGAAGATTTCTTTCTAGGTTGTTGCTAGAGTAAGGAAGGGTGTCTTATGACATTTAGTGACTGAAGAATACTGAATTGGGATTTAAAATCAATTGTTATTTGTAGCCTTAACAAGTATTTAATTGATTATCCTTTTGATTAGTGTTTAAGAAAGATGATGTCAAAATGTCACACCTGAAGGTGCAGCTTCAGACTGTTGCAAGAACTCAAGAACCTTTGTTATGTATCTGATTTATCTTAAATAATGGATATAGTCGGTATCATATGTGGAGTTTTCAGTAGGTCCTTATCTTGTCCTTA